ATTTCCTCAAATTCGTGTTTGGGCGACTATAACAAATGTGTAATAATGGTGGATTATTAACCATTAAGTGTTCGTGAACGTGCATGAATGTGGGCGAGTGAAGCAAAACAGTGCATCGTGATTCTTCTGGTTCTCTCAAGTTGTCCATAGGTGGTCTCAATAAAGCACCACAACTTTACTGAGACTCAAAGGGTGGGAAGGGGTATCATCTATCATCCTTCATTATATCATTAGTTGATCTCATTTTGTAACTCGTATCACATAAATACTTGAAAATGGCACAAATCAAGTCAACTTCGACGTGTATTGCCAACATCATCAAAAAAGAAGAAGAAGACTTGAATAAACTTTACGAGGAGGCACGAGTACCTAACCTAACAGACAGTTATCAAATTTTTCGGTATTTAAATAAGTCAGAGCTAAACATACATAATAATAAATAGGTATACTCATAGCATACTCGTAGGTAAACATTATTACTTAGTTTCGATTGAGATCATTAATAAATTGCAAATCAAATCAGTTAAAAAAGGAAGACTAGGCCAGTCTAAAAGCAACGTTAACCTATTAAATAATTAAAAACTTACATTTGTCTAAGAAAACAGGCTTTCAAGAGTATTAAAGCTTCAAAATCGAAACTCGAGAATTCTCGAGCTCCGGTAATTTTTTTCTCGTCTCGAATGAAGCCAAATTTCTCGAGTTTTCTCGAGTTCGAGAAGGCTCGAGCAGAAACCCTAATTATAAATCTTACCTCGTACCAATACTTGTATAAACACGAAAGTTTGTATGGATGTCTAGATGTTTGTTACTCTTTCACGCAAAAACTACTGAACGGATTTTGATAAAATTTACAGTACTATTGGTTAAAACCCAGAATAACTTAAATTTTATTTATGACCGTGGGCAAAAGCTAGTTAAACATATTTAGAGTCCAAACAGCAGCACATCAAGTTAATCAAAGACTGTGACGTTATATGAAAGTATATTTTATTTAAGTTTATTCATGTAAATAGAAAATTATAAGTCGTGACTGTTTATAAAAAGTATATAATGTATTAACACATTCGATAACATATGAATGATCACAATAATTGTTTCTACTGGACGATTCAACGAGTTGTCTTATGTAATTGAGCTATCACTCTTGTCACACAAACTGTGAGAGGTTAATTCTGGAGTCGTGCGATCTGAGCTTTCTAGGTGCCAATCACGGCAACAGACGTTTCTGATATGAATCTTTGTTACACTAAACCGACGTCAAATTAGCGAGCGCTCGTGAAACGAGAGCTGACTTGTGATGGCCATTTCTATGACCTTTGATTCAATTTATTAATCTATTTGTAGGATGCGCACGATTACATGGATTCGTTGCTTGAAACAAAAGATTGTTAGTACACGTTTATGTAACATTCATTTGGCTGGTACCCCGTATACAGTGTGTCTGATCACCAGTGTCCGACCCGTTAGGTCGCAGTATTATGATCAATTTTATCAACAAATCCACTGGAATAAAACATTTCAACCCTACTTTAAAAAAATTGCAGGTTATTGAATATTTTGGGTTTCTGAGTCCGAGTGGAATCATTTATTTTGCAATATCTACCGATGTACAGGCAGTACAGGGTCTATAAGCATACAAGGTTCGACAGCTAAAAGAGTAGGCAATAAGTAAACATCAAAAAATTTATAAACAGCTCCCATTAAAATCATTCAGAAACGCTTGAAACGTAAAAAAAAAAATGATGTTTTTTCTTAAGGTTTTCAATGTTACAAAAAAACTAGACATACCTAGTGAACATACCTTTTTTCCACTTTTTAGATGCACTAAGTCATTACCTATAAACTGATGTTAATACCTCTTTTCAGTTTCAATTACTTAGGTATTTGCACAGTTTCGTTCGCTATGAATACAGAATAACTGAAAGCTAGGCTTAGACTTTGCTCATAGCCTATGGTGTAACAAACAATGATAGAGAATAGCCAACCAGAACCACAACCCATTAGATAAGCGTCCAATTTGTGCGAGACAACCATCGATGCACCGTTGACCTGAACACGTTATTTATACGGTAAAGCGACTGATAGAAAGTAACCAGCGGAGATAAGACCGCCTTTATGGATAATGCAACCGATAAATTCCAAAGGTTATGTAATTTAGATTCGATTTCTAAGGACTAAATCGAAGACACGAATTTGGTATTTATTAAACACGAGCTAGAACATGGCTGCGCTTGCACAGGTTCCGTTGTGAACAAAATAGATATTGTACAGTTTGTTGTTCCTTGATAATTATTATGTAGATCTTATGTAGGACCGACGACCTCATAAAGGGCGCTGGGTGCAGACCGCTACCAACCGGGCGATGTGGAAATCATTGGGGGAGGCCTATGTTTAGCAGTGGATGTCCTGTGGCTGAGATGATGATGATGATGAATCTTATGTAGGTAGTACTTTAGGTGCTATTTTGTTTGAAACAAAAATGTAGGTATAACCTACTTAAAACTGACGTGCTTTATGTAGATTACTTGACTGAACAGGAGAAAATATGTTAACCTAAATTCTAAAATTGTAGACAATATTTTTATTATCAATTATTTATTTACATATTCAAGTAAATTATATGAATACATACAGATAAATGCCGAAAGTTAAATACATCGAGTATTGTAGAAAAGTGTTACACATGTAGTTTCAATGAAAGTGATCAGCTAAATTGCAGAAAAATGTCTTGTGCTTTCTATCGTAATCTAAGTTAATTTTATATCACTCAGGTGTTCTTAACGCTTGTCATCTATGAGACTTGCACATTAGAAAAAGCGAAATGACGTCATAGAAAACAAACTTAGGCCCGTATTCACCATTACTATGAGGTCTCACAGTGCGCGTGGACGCACAGGGTCACACACGAACCAATCACAGCTCTAGCTAGCTAGCTCTAGAGCTCTATTCGACGTTGTGCGTTCGATTTGCTACTTTACTTAAACAAGCATAGTTTGTGGAAGATCGATATTGATCATAAAAAACTCATAAAAACTCATAAAACTCATTTATTTCTGCAAATAGGCTTTAAAAAGCACTTTTACACGTCCCAGTATTAACTCTACCACTGCTTCATTGCATCATTCGACCGCAAGTGATACAAGGACTTCATTGAAATAGAACAGATCATTTCGGTCATAGGACGTCCACTGCTGAACATAGGCCTCCCCAATGATTTCCACAATGGCCGGTTTATGAGGTCGTCGGTCCACCTTGTGGGTGGACGTCCTACGCTGCGCTTTCCAGTACGTGGCCTCCACTACAGAACCTTGATGCCCCATCGGCCGTCAGCAAAAAATGCATTAACCCCAGCATAATACTTATAAATTCAGTTTACAAAGCCGGTCTTCCACTCGCTAATTAAGGGCATCGCGCGATTTATACCGATCGTTAGGTGCGCGCGCGCACGACGCCGGCCTGATGGATGACAGGCACGACTTGCTCTGGATGTTCAGTTGAACGTTTATGTTGTTTTTATTTTAGCTCAGAGCTTAGATAAGTAAGCAATCGTTTTGTTCTTTTTCATCAATGAAATTAACATTTGACAGAATAGCATTATTTGAGTCATATAATACGTAAAAACGGTGTCAGAACGATGTTTTATGAATAGACTAGCGGCCGCCCGCGACTTCGTACGCGTGGATCCCGTTTTATCCCCTTTAAATTTTTCCTGAATTTTCTTTACTATAAACCTCACGGAGCCCGAGACCTTTCCAACGAATGCAAAACCGTGGAAATCGGTTCGTGCGTTCTGGAGTTATAGCATCAGGGAGGAAAACCGACTTATTTTTATATAGTAGATATGTATCGTCTACTCTAATTTCTCCAGCGTTACAGTTAAGTTATCCTTTATTAAATATCCTTTCGCCTTTTGTGGCTGCTCAGGTTGGTTGGTGGCATGTTATTTCTAATATCTGTGGCAGAAAAGACAAAAAATGGAGTACTTAGAGAACTTCGTTTCTGAAATGTGACATAAGCTCTCTAGACCAGGGTTTCCCAAACTATGGGTCGCGACCCAGTGGTGAGTCGCGAGCGAACATTGAGTGGACCCTGCCTGTAGAACGACACACCACCCTACCGATCCAACCATTGGGCAGCGGGCGAAATTTCCTATAGGTGGATCCCGAGTTTGGGAACTTGTATTAGATGAGTCGTAGCCCAGACAACTTTGGGAACCACTGCTCTAGACGATATTTACAGACTGGATGAAAGAAGCTATAAATGGTGCTCTTCTTTTTTTGTTTTGTATTTGTTTAAATAAATAGATTTTTTATTGTAACTGCAGAGCCCTCTGTTGCGCGCCTTTTTGACAGGAAGTGTTACGAATCGACACGAATTTTATCGATGAACCGTCACTGTCAAAAGGGCGCATAACTGGCGTAGGACCTACCCCATGTTGGTACCCACTGAAAACCAGCTTCGTGACTTGACGACTTGTGTCATGCCACGATTTTCGCTGAGCGGGCGCCTTTTCAGCATGGCTCAGTCATTTAATCTCTGTACATGTATGCATATAAATGTTAATTATGTATAAAGGTATTCTATTCTATTCTATTCTTTGCTGCTGCTACGTCCAGCAGCGCACTATAGCTGGTTGAAATATTTCTATGAAAATGTCCCATTTTATTTCTTTTATTTTTATTATCTACTAGCTAACCCGGCGAACTTCGTACCGCCTTAGCGTAGAGATTTTCTTTATATTTTTTTCCGTAAAAACCTTGTACAGAGTATTAGAAAACTACAAAAAAAAAAATCTGCCAAATCGGTCAAGCCGTTTTCATGTTATGTCGTGACAACGGAAAACGGGTTTCATTTTTATATAATAGATTTATTTTTGCACTGACACCGACGAGATGGTCGGACGCTGTGAGGAAGACGGTGGGCGGGAGTTTGCATCGTGCGGTCCACACAGCTTATGACCGCAGTCTGTGAAGGAACACTATCTGTGGTCGTGATCCTCATCAGGGACCGAGGAAAAAGAAGATTTTTGCACTGACCTGATGCTCGCTCAGCTTCCTCAGCAACTCGTGGTAGGGCGCCGCGCGGGCGGCGGCGAGCGACGGCGGTGGTAGACGACCCTCCATGCCGTGTAACCAGCGGCGAAGGCAACGCAGCTCGTGTGCTGTATCTACGATAATATATTTTGGTTACTAAGATTAACAAAAAGACAGGTGCTTACGTTGCTATGAAAAAAAGGCCCAGCTCGAGCGATGTGTCTGTAAAAAGATCGGTTTGATAGAGTTTATAGAATAGGGACACAGTTTACGGCGGTGGCAGGCGCCAACACACAGAAATCGACTTTAGCGCCACCTATATCCAATCAAAATTACAAAACAATTGTTTACAGCGCCATCTTTTGGATTATTCGTAATACACTGTAGATTTATCATTAGTGATGAAAACGCCATCTATGTCGCATTGGCTAAACTACTTTGTATACAACTAGTCAAACGGAATTCAGTTTATAGATGTCGCTAGTAGTACCGAAAAAGTTTGATGTAGTGGCGCAGGTAGACTCTATCAAACGGTGTGGTAGCTCTGGGTGATAGACTTATCCATTTATTTAGACAAAATCTAAACAGAACTATTTATTTATTACTGCTTACCAACAGTGTCGGAGCCATCTCCGTCCCTATGCTGCTGTTCAGGACTGAGCAGCAGGCGGAGACCCTCCCACTTCACGTTCAGATGTTCCATGCGCCATGTTACCTTAAAAAAATACATTACAATATTATTATTTACCAGACACCGTGGCAGGACATCGATTTCACAAATTATTCGGTGATAACGGAATCTTTGGAATTTAATTTGAAATGAAAATCTCATATCTCTATTGTTTTAGCATAATAAGACCGCCGTGAAACGAGCACTATAAGGGAACAATAAGGGTTCACGATCTTCAGACAGTTCAGACCCTCGAAGACTCATTCATTACGGTAATGAATGAGTCTCGTTGCGGACATTACCTCTAATAGAATTAATAACTTCGAACCAATGCAATTATTTTGTTATTTAACTAGAGTTATTACCTCCGCGCTTGCTTCTGGTATCCTTTCCAAGATGGCGGTGGCTTGCTCCATGAACTTAGCTCGTCGGGGCTCTACTGACACCAACTCCGACATCCGACTCTGAAAAAGGGATTATTTAATTACAAAAGCTGCTTAGAAACCTTAATTACACATGGGCATCACCAGATTATACCTACTTAGGAGAGAAATAAACACTGTAAATGCTAGCACGTTAGTTAGTCAGTTCATTGGTTTTTGCATCTTCAGATGTTTTGTTTCGTTATAACTAGATCTAAATCAAACCACGAAGAATAACCATTATGTAGTCACAAGATTCATGGAACACATATCTCCTGACATCAACTTTTTTCTAATTCTAACCTACGCGCCATAAGAAATAGAAGCACTTAAAGTAGTCTATGAGTAAGAAGGTAGAGCTAGAGCTAGTTCTTGCTCTTTTGTTGGTCCACTGACTTCTAGGGTGTCCAGAGGTCTCGCATTCTAAGATGTTAAGACAAGGTGGAATTTTGTGCTTCCTCATCATCTTCATTCTTTGGTTCCAGAACTAGAATAGATCTTCTCTTATTTTTTTTACCGGTTTCGCGTCTTCAGAAGTCTCTCTCATTCCTAGAATTAGTTAGACCATAAGAAATCATTCCTTCTCTCACCATTCTGAGCTTCCTGCTGGACAAGTTCTCGGGACTAGAGTAGTTCTCCTCCTGCACGTGCGTGAGCCACTGGCACAGCTCGCCGAACTCCGCGAGCAGCTGCGACAGCGACCACTGCCGGTTGAATCCTGACGCTTCTATACCATTACCAGACAACCCAAATGGGTCAGAAACAAGAAGAAATTTTGCAGAAGAAGCTGCTGTATCACCTGACGAAAACTTTTGGTTCCACCTGACGATGGACATGATTGGATGGCTTCACAAAGCATCTTTTGACACCAGGGTTTCTCCAGCCCATATGCAATAAGACGAAGAAGCACTCAAAGACGAACCTGCTCGTTCCTTTCTTGGTTGACTGTTTTCTAGCGTCTTAGAAGTCTCTTTCTAAGAACTATTGAGACCATAAGGAATCTCTTATACACTCACCATCCTTACCTTCTAGCTGGACTGGTTCACACAGATCGTCTCCTGTTTTCCTACTAGTTTCTAGCCTGTCTTCAGGGGTACCAGTTTTAATCTAGCTGGAAATCCGTGTAGACTCACCATTCTCAGCTTCCTGCTGGACAAGTTCTCGGGACTAGAGTAGATCTCCTCCTGCACGTGCGTGAGCCACTGGCACAGCTCGCCGAACTCCGCGAGCAGCTGCGACAGCGACCACTGCTGGTTGAACCCTGACGCTTCTACTACATAGTATTATCAGATAATCAGACCATCCAAAGAAGAAACTCCTATGCCACCTGACGAAACATGATTTGATGGCTAGGCACAGCGTCCTCTAACATCAGGGTTTCTCCAGCCCATACACAAGAGGAAAAAGAAGCACTTAAAGACTTAAGCTTCCACTTTTGATGCTATAATCGTGTCTCTAGTCATCAGAAGAATAAAACCAGCAGGAATTCCGTGTTCACTTACCATCCTCTGCTTCCTTCTGGATCAATTTCTAGAACTAGAATGGATCTTCTCCTAGCGTTCTTAGAGTTTTCTGGAGAATCTACATAGGTCCCTTTCCTAAAGCAGGTAGAAGTTTTTGTTCTCACCATTCTGAGCTTCCTGCTGGACAGGTTCTCGGGACTAGAGTAGATCTCCTCCTGCACGTGCGTGAGCCACTGGCACAGCTCGCCGAACTCCGCGAGCAGCTGCGACAGCGACCACTGCTGGTTGAACCCTGACGCTTCTGTACCATTACCAGTCAACCCATTGGGCCAGAAAGAAGAAGAAATTTACAGAAGAAGGAAATTCTTTCTCACCTGACAATGGACATGATTTGAGGTTAGACACAGCATTTTCTGACAGGTTATCTTCTCCAGTTCACACGCATTAAGAAAACGAAGCACTTAATCATCTTACCCGTTTATCGGTTTCTAGTGGTTTCAGAGGTGTCGTTTTCAGAAGTATTAGACAAGTTGGAATCATATATGTTTCCTCATCATAATACTCACCTTTTTGCTGGACTGGTTCCGAGAATTAAAATACTTAGATCTTCTTCTAGTTTTCTTAAAGGTTTCTTGCGTCTTCAGAAGGGTTTTCTTGCCAGTTTCTGGAGCGTTCTTAGAGGCCTCGTTTTTAGCATTACTTGGACTATGATAAAACTCATGTAGGCTTACCATTCTGAGCTTCCTGCTGGACAGGTTCTCGGGACTAGAGTAGATCTCCTCCTGCACGTGCGTGAGCCACTGGCACAGCTCGCCGAACTCCGCGAGCAGCTGCGACAGCGACCACTGCCGGTTGAACCCTGACGCTTCTATACCATTACACTGGTAATGACCAGACAACGCGATCGAGTCGGAGAGAAGAAGAAAATTTGCAGAAAGAGTAACTGCTTTATCACCATCGTCAGGATATCATTTTATGGCAAGACACAGCATACTCTGTCCAGGGTTTCTCCAGAGAAATGAGCACTTAAAGTCTAGCTTGATTCTTTGTTGATTCGCTGACTTCTCGGGTGTCCAGAGGTGTCAAGGTGGAATTTTATGCTTCCTCATCGTTCTCCTGGAGCGGTTCTAAGACTTCAGAGGTCTCGCTCAGTCCTAGACCTAGTTAGACCACGAGGAATGTCTTGTACACTCACCATTCTAAGCTTCCTGCTGGACAAGTTCTCGGGACTAGAGTAGATCTCCTCCTGCACGTGCGTGAGCCACTGGCACAGCTCGCCGAACTCCGCGAGCAGTTGCGACAGCGACCACTGCCGGTTGAACCCCGAGGTCGGGTTCAGCAGCCGCGGCCCGTGGTGCAAAGCTGACGAATTGTGTGATAGCAATTCGCCGTTTGCTTCCTGAAAACAAGAGCGAGATCTTTTAAAACTTATATGCACATAAATCTGAAATCTTAATAGTTCATAGTATCTACATGTTCGTTCGTTCGTTTGTTTCAGCTAAATGACATCCACTGCTGGTCAAAGGCCTCCCCCAAGGATTTCCATAAGGACCGATCCTGCGCTGCCCGCATCCAGGTTCTTCCCACGTTTTTGTACCTAATAGATGTATTTTGGAATAATATGATTGAAGAATTCACACACAAAAAGGAGGTGTTTTTAACCGACTACGCTAGAAGGAGGGTTATGTTTTTCGAGTGTGAGTGCGAGCTAGCTGAGATCTCGTTACGATTTGTGCAACTAAAATATTAAAATTTTATTGATAGCTCTTTTTACAAAAATGTAAATGCTCCATGGACAGACTTATTGCTTCGGAAGTCGGGGATATGAAAATGTGTTTTTTGAAGTCAAATAAGTAATTTTGATAAAATGAAGGTATTCTAAGGACAAATCAAATATTCTAAGGATACTGTTAGAGAATATCTATTTTCAGGAATGGGCCGTGAAGTCTCACCTTGAAAGTAATTGTGGTCTAGGAAAACAGTCACAAAAGGCGGTTGCTATGGAATGGACATTATGGATATTTTCATGATAAAGATCAATAAGTGGTCAAATTGTTTTAGCTTTTGAGGCGTGAAATCGTAACCACCTGACACCGAAACAAAGCCACATAACCTTATTGTCGAGCAGTAAGACCTACCTGAAAGGGCTATGCTCTGTGTTTCTTTACGAAATCGAATCAGAAATAAGGAGATCCGACAACGAACTAAAGTCGCTGCCATAGTAACCCCACGGATTAGCAAGCTGAAGTGGCAATGGGAAGGGCACATAGTACGCAGAACTGACGGCCGATGGGGCAGCAAGGTTCTGGAGTAGAGGCCATGTACCGGAAAGCGCAGCGTGTGTGGACCGACCTCATAAAGGTAGCAGGAAGGCGCTGGATACAGGCCGCTGCCAACCGGGCGATGTGGAAATCATTGGAGGAGGCCTATATTCAGCAGTGGACGTCCTGTGGCTGAAATGATGATGATGTAGAAGAGCTAACTTTGCAGGTGTCGATGATCTGATCCATGAGGTAGTCGTAGTGGTGCTGCAGTAGCGGCCACAGGTCATCGCCAAGCTAATGAGAGCCTTATTATCGAGCAGTAAGAGCTACCTTGCAGATGACATCTGCCGCCGCTCGCCGCCTAGCTAATAAGAGCCTTATTGTGGAGCAGTACGAGCTTGAGCTTGAGAGTTACCAGTGATGGTATATGGATCTGAAACGTGGTCGCTTACTATGGGCCTCATAAGAAGGCCTAAGGTCACCCAAAGGGCGATGGAGCGGGCTATGCTCGGCGTTTCCCTGCGTGATCGAATCAGAAATGAGGAGATCCGCAGAAGAACCAAAGTGATCGACATGGCTCGCAGAATTGCTAAAATCAAGTGGCAGTGGGCGGGGCACATAGCTCGTAGAGACGATGGCCGTTGGGGCAGAAAAGTTCTCGAGTGGCGACCACGGGCTGGAAGACGTAGCGTGTGTAGGCCTCCTACTAGGTGGACCGACGATCTGGTGAAGGTCGTGGGAAGAGCCTGGATGCGGGCAGCGCAGGACCGTTCATTGTGGAAAACCTTGGAGGAGGCCTTTGTCCAGCAGTGGACGTCATTCGGCTGAAACGAACGAAGAGCTACCTTGCAGGTGTCGATGATCTGGTTGTCCATGATGTAGTCGTAGTGGTGCTGCAGTAACGGCCACAGATCGTCTCCAGCGCTGCCGCCGCTCGCTGCGGAGCCCCAGCTACGGCGCCAAGCTTCGCGGCATGGCTCCTTTCTGGAATGAATTAAAATAAACATACATTTCTACACCTGAAGAAATTTTTGTCGAGTAAAGAAGAAGAAGAAGATACATACAAATAAAAAGAAATAAGTGTAAGGACCCAGGTTGTGACCGCAGCATAAAATTTGGTCTGTCACAGAAAGATCCTTTCAAAAACCGGGATGCAATCAGTCTACTCCTGTTATGTCGGCCGTTTGGTGTAGTGGTTTCGGGACGGACTACCTACTATGCCGAGAGGTCCCGGGTTCGATTCCCTGCCGGGCAGAAATTGAAATGATGAATGTTAATTTCTGTGTCGGGTCTAGGTGTTACTATGTATAAGACAACGGATATAAACATACTTAAATACATATGTGTGTGTGTGTGTGAGTGTGTGTGTGTGTGTGTGTGTATATATATACATATGTATTTACAAAAAAAGTATTTAAGTATGTTTATATCCGTTGTCTAGTCTAGTACCCATATTACAAGCTTTGCTTAGTTTGGGACTAGAAGCGTAGTGTAAAATGTCCAAGGATATTTATTTATTTTTTCCTGGACCTCAAACTGTCTCTGTAACTTCTTCTTATCTTAGTCGGACACTTTACAAAGTGGTCGTGGTTGTGCTGACGAGGCACACGGTGGGGTGTTCGATGTCATCTCCGAGGGTCTCTGTTAGAAATTTCATCAAAATCGATTCAGCGCTATGGCTTAAAAAGGTAACAGACAGATAAGATAATAGATAACTAATGGAAGTATGGTTAATCAAAAGAATAGTTACAAAACTCATAGTAAGTACTTACTACCTACTAAACTGAGGTACCTGAACCTACGCAACACAGTGAAATTGGGTTAGAGATAACAAATGAGATTGATTATATTATCCGCTGTTATCACTTTGCTAATGCCATGGAATTTCACCATGAGGCATAACAGTATAATAAAAGTGCCTGAGACTATGACAGAGTTTTAAGAAAGCCAATTAAAATGTGAAAAAAATATATTTATAAGAGCGTTAGAAACTCAAGAGTTCATCACGTATGGCATTATCCCACCGTTGCAGCACAATTCTTGTAGAGCCAGGATTTACAGTTTGGCCTCTAATAAAACCCAACCAATGAAGGTTGCGTAGTTCTTAGGATAACTTACTGTTTCTCAGGCACGTGAAAAACAGAACAAACTCTTCTTCTTTTGGAGCTGGAGGGAAGTCGAATCATCATTAACTTCCAACTCTATGTTCTTCTGATTAATTTCATTGCGGATGACTGTTTAAGTCTAGTTTCCCTCGGGACAAACTTTACCTACGTGTTTTTAGATGTGGTAAAGCTGTAGATCCTGGCTACACAGGCACAGGAGTTGCAGCAGTGCTGTCTGGCTGGTACGTGAAAAATAGAAAAAACTATACATACCTCTTTTTAGTGAGGCTGTGGTACGGCCGCTCCAGTTGGTCGCAGCGGCCGCCAGGGGGCGCCGGCGCAGTCCCCAGCGACGACAGCGAGAAGCTGCTCTTCATGGCTGAGTGCTCGAAACCTGGAATTGAGATACAGACTGCTGAGTATAGGCAATCTTAAAAAATTATCGTCATAATCATTTCAGTCACAGGATGTCCACTCTCCACTGCTGAATATAGGCCTTCCTCAATACCTATACCTACACAATGGCCGATTAGTAGCAGTTGGCATGCGGCAAGCATTTATCTTGGACGTGCTAAAAAGTAAAATGAAATATAATGTTGATTTTTGCCATTTCATTTACTCTTCTTCTAAATGTAGATTGGAACAACTGGTTTAGTTGAACTAGATCACCAATTCAAGTCACTCAGGAACAGCTTCTGGTGTCAGCTAAGTATTGTAAGCTTTCATTGCCTATAACTTATATTAAAACTAATAATAATAGAGGTCAACTTACTCGTAGACATTTTGGCTCTTGTGTGCAGGAACTTCTAAGATGTTCAATTTACTTCTAAATCGACGTTAGTGTTCCTTTTGTACTCTCTCAACTCCTTAATCTTTGTACTAGTTCGACAATATTTCTATTATCGACTTTACCCTTTTAAAATACAGTCTAAAGTTGCTTCGTGTTAAAAAGTGCTGTGGCGACTAGATTCGTTATTATAGTACAATAAATATTCTTAATCATGTAATCTTGGGAGACTCATGAATTTGAAGAGGGTTTGTGTTTTGGTCGGCGCTTCGGTGGTCACATGATGGTGCGTGAGGGCTTGTGCCCTCTCTGTACGGCGTCTGCTCTTTGCCAGGGCGGTCCTGGAATGAAGGAGAAAGAAGAATTTAGTTATCTGTCAAAATTAAAAAAAGAGTAAGGTCTAAACATACTTTTTTAATTATATTCTAGAATCAACCAGTACCTACTTTGTCGGCCGTTTGGTGTAGTGGTTCAGAACGGACTACTATGCCGAGAGGTCCCGGGTTCGATCCCCGGCCGGGCAGAAATTGAAATGATGAATTTTAATTTCTGTGACGGGTCTGGGTGTGACTATGTATAATATTTATGTATTTAAAAAAAAAAGTATATAAGTAGTATATCCGTTAACCTAGCACCCATAACACAAGCATTAAGTTGCTTACTTTGGGGCTAGCTGGCGCTGTGTGAAATTGTCCAAAGATTTATTATTTATTATTACCTACAATGTTAAAGAATAGTTTTCCCTCTCCAAAACGGGTACCTAGTCTTTAAAAAATAGTAGAGTAGGCCTTTAATAGCCTGTATTAATTAAAAATACAGATAAATGATACTCAAAACTCAACAAATCCAAATTAAAACTGGAGGTAAAATGATATAGCTCTCATCAAACTTGATTGCAGATGATACCCTGAATATGATATCCGTATCCGTACAATTAAATTAAACTCGCAATTTTTAAGCTCAGTTAAAAGTGCGTAATGCAAATTTTACTTGATAATTTCGCCTTATGTGCCATTTGTATGGTGTTGCCAGTTGCCAGCACGTCTGGCGGTACGGAAACAGAATGAAATATCGATTTCTATGCAAATCCGAGTTTACGTGCTCGATATTGAACATAAATACTCGGAATAAGCAGGAAACTCCTTCGATTTCGATTTGTCCTCGTAATGCATTTAAAAGACTACCAATATGCAGTTCCGAATATACAGATTCTTGTAAATTGCACACTTATAACCAACCTACGTAACTAAAATTCTTATTAACCTTATGTCAAAATGACAAGTATTATATTAGCATGTAAGTTTACATGCGAAGCGTCGATTCTCAAAACCTGTGACTCACAAGTCAAACGTGCGATTATCCACTTCCTGAACACGTACAATATGGCTATGACTTTATTATAACTTGACGATAAATACATATGAGAGAACATAGAGTCTTCATATGGCTCTGTTTATTCAATTAATTATTAATATATTAATACCTACGTATAATTTAATACACATACTAAAGCCCGGTCCGTGAGCACGTAGAATTTTGTCCAATGACTCCTTATCGCTCGCGCGTAATTATATTGCTGTCGCGACTGTGCGACTGGCAGCCGCAGTGAGTGTGCGAGCGCGATAGCAACATAATTACGCGCGAGCGATAAGGATGGGTAGCTAGGGGTCATTGGACAAAATTCTACGTGCTCACGGACCAGACTATACCCGTATCATTTAATAAAGGGGAATTATAAAACGAGCGACTAAAAAAGAACTTTGCGACTGATGATGGCATACTGTTTTAATACCTTGAGCGGTATGAATTTGAGTAAGCGAAAAATTTACCAAACTAACGACGAATATTGATCAATAATAAAATCCAGAACGAGCTTACAAAATGTGTGTTTTGATTATTACATTTCAGACATAAAAATACTATCCAGGCGACTAAATTACTAAGTGAGCGACTAGAAATACAGAGAGGGCAACTTTAATATGAAGATACATTAGATTTTTCTAATTGAGGTTTTACTGAACAAACTACAAAAAAGTTAATTCTAAGCAGTTTTGTGAGATGCTTTATTAATGATTATTGGTTACTGATATTATATTTGAGGTCTCATGTTTTTTATTTTGATACGCTTTATTAATGAAAACTACAGATTGTTACAGCGCGCGAATTCGAATGGGGGCGGGGCGACTGTCCCGAATTTTTAACAAAATATGTATGCTAACACGTTTTGGGTCTAGCAATTCGGCTCAAACTAACAACACCGCCACTGGAAGCAAAACTTATCAGTTGGACAAAACCTATTGGACAAAAAAGAAAACGAGGCCGTCCCGCTAAGTCCAAGCCAGCACTTATCATACAGTGACGATGAGTAGGTAGAGCTCCTCAATCCTCATAGGTACCAATCAATGAACCTTATTAATAAGCAGTGTTGCCAGTCGGGTCTTGTCAGAAATTACCAGAAATATAGCGGAGTGTGTAAGGTTGTTCATGGATGGAAAATGAATACAATCAATTTATTGATCATCGATCGTTTACCTAAATTTCAAATTTTGACCATTCCATGAAGACCCTAAAAGTGACCGGGGTCGTATAAAAACGTTTCATGGATTTGCGTTCTATTATCGAAAAATAATCGCTAAAACTATTTTTTTTTAACAAATAATAAATCAAATTCATGTTTAAATGCAGTTTATGACATTATTTTAAATTGTCACTATTAATATTTTTTACTGAATAACCTGTAAAAGTTAATTCCACAATTTCTGAAAAATCACCTAAAAGTAACCTTTTCATTAGTGTAACCTAAAAGTAACCAATGCAGTTCAAAAGTAACCTAAAAGGCAACACTGGCAACACCTAACCTTCTGGCAACACTGTTAATAAGATTACTTTTTTTTGGGTTGACAGAAGCAACTTATTTTATTTTGTTTTTTTTTTTGTTGATTCGATTCAAGAAAATACAAATTTATTTCATTTTTCGTAATACATTGTTTCATTTGATTACCTACCCTTAAATTTTAATGATTTATTTTTTTCGCTACTAGAATAGTGTTCCGTGAAATATTTATTTCATAAGATCATTTTTTATTTAAATGTGGGCTCATAATACGCTGCTTATAATAGTATTTTTCTAAGTAGTTTTTGCATTCGAAACACTTCATTAATGTTAAAAATACCGTTCAGTATAAAAAAAAGCATTTGCCGAATATTGAAAAAAATGCAGGACCGAACGTTGACATTCAATCAAATATTACGTCGCTCAAATATTATGAAGCTTCTCATTTTGTATTTTAATGAACTCAATTTTTTTTTGTAAGTTGCTGTTCTTTTGATTTTTCGTCACTCGCACTCAGTCGCTCACTTAGTAATTCTTTAGCCCACATTAATTATTTTTGACACTTACAACATAAATTTACAGTCACTCGTTTAAATACTACCCTTTAATAAACTATTTTACTAGTCGCAGAAGCAGATGCAAACTACGTACCTATCTTTTTCAACTCCTTTCTTTCTTAATAGGTAGGACATATAAACCTATAGTAAAAAAGTTTCCCCTCATATACCTTCATGGTTTTTAGGGTTCCGTAGCCAAATGGCAAATAACGGAACCCTTATAGATTCGTCATGTCTGTCTGTCTGTCCGTCCGTCCGTCCGTCTGTCCGTCTGTATGTCACAGCCATTTTTTTCCGAAACTATAAGAGCTATACTGTTGAAACTTGGTAAGTAGATGTATTCTGTGAACCGCATTAAGATTTTGATGAAAAAAGAATAATAAATATTGGGGGCTCCCCATACTTAGAACTGAAACTCAAAAATTTATTTGAGGTTATTACACCTCAAATAAAATGCTAGTAAAAGTATGTACTCCATTTTTTGTTGAATAGCCATGACAACCACTGATGCCACAGTCACCCCCTTATTAATAAAAAGTTACACGCATGTTTTTTTTCCAAAAGTCACTATCATGTATCAACTAGGTTTCAACGCGCATCTAGCTATGTATTATACGAGGTTAAATATTCAACGTGGTTTAACTACAAGTGCTGACATTTGTAAACGTTAGTTTCATAACATCACGCTATAAGTCCACGTATTGTATAAATTCCCTTTAGCACCGATATAATGTTTTGTAACGAAGTAACGTAAAATAACTCATATCTTTTGTCCAGTATTAAATTGCCCGTAACTTTCTTCACCATACTGTTCGGCACAATGAGAGAAAGTGCAAGGACCACATCGTTCATTCACAATGCTGATAGCATCAGTGATAACACCATTTGAGGCGAATGAATAGGACTATAAGACCGATCGTTATATTGTTGATGATTTGATTATGTCGATAAATTATGGTTAATGCTTCGTAATATGACATGAACAATTTGATGGTGCAGAGATATGGATTTAGGATCAGAGTTTAAATTTTTAAAAATAAGATATGGGATCTTCTTTGCCACTTCAAATTCAAAATCATTTATTATACAAGTAGGCTTTTAAAAACCTCTTTTACTTCTTTCAGCGCGGAATAGTGTAGTAACTTTTCTTGTTTTTTTAATTGTTAAATATTAGACTAAATACAATTAGGTATTTGGGAACTAAAATTTTGCGAGAACAAGAAGCAATTTTTGTAGAGTTAAAAGTTTTGGTCCGCGATGGATCGCTGCGTCTAGTTACTAAGAGCTTGTTCCCACGGAAACATCCTGTTTTTTGCTGGATCCCGTTTAGTAGAATACATCTATATATATAAAAGAAAGTCGTGTTAGTTACTCCACTTATAACTCAAGAACGGCTGAACCGATTTAGCTGAAAATTGTCAGGGAGGTAGTTTAGAGCCAGGAGAAAGACATAGGATACTTTTTATCCCGTTCGAAATTAAAAAAAAGTCTGCTTATTTATTGCCATTAAGGCGGAACAAAGTTCGCCGGGTCAGCTAGTGTTTTAATATTTACGTCTCACACGAACATCCCGTTTGCAGTGTCCCGCAAAATACTGATCCGTTCGAATTTGTGATTCGAATTTAAACACACATGTGTGTTCACATCCAGTTTTGCGAGATTAATGGATCCCGCAAAACGATATTGCCGTGGGAGCCCTACGATAATAGAAATCCATATCGAACCATAACCCATGCAAAATTTTCTCCCTAAAACCGAGCCATCGAGCCCAAATTTGAGCCGCACGTAACATTTGAAGACAACTTTCTCTGGTCGAAAATCAATTGTTTTCACTGTCGGCTAGGGCGTAGGAAAGTCGCCTGCGTAATTTTCTTGCACAGTTTCACACCAATTTACGTACATAAGCCGTTGACATGCCGTGGGGCCTGGGTAAGGCGAATCAAAATTGCC